ATTTTTGCCACAAGATTTCATGATGGTGAGAAGGAAAGCCTTAAAGGTTAGAAGACTAAGTATATCATTGAAAAGTGACTAAAATAATATCCTGGTGGGAAAGCTCAAGAAATTTGTCTAAACATCCGTTGGGATTTAACAGGATTTAGGAAATATATCCCGAGCACCTTCAGACCATAACTGTGAATCAGTGTAATGCACACACCCAGTGAAAGCCACCTTGTACATGGGAAATGTAGATGCAGAAGTAACACTGTCCATTTAAAACCTAAGACCACTTAGGTCACTTCTGACTTCAGTAGAAGTTAAATGATTTAAACAATTCATCAAAAATCACGTCAAGAACGAGCGCAAGGCTCAGCTGAGAGGAGGTCCCTTCCCCAAAGGGGCTGTAGCTGTGCTCACGTTTTCCCGGTGCCCTCCCAGCACCCCGGATGCAGCAGATGCGAGTGGTGTCACTGGGCCAGGCGATGTGGCATCCCAGCCCAGACCTGCCACCCCGCGGCCGAGCAAGCGAGGGGACCCATGGGGCCTCTCTGGGCTGTGCTAAGGCGGCAGCAGCTGAAGCCAAGGCTCATCCAGCACATCCATGGTTGGATTTCTGCCCTGCCTTCTTGCACCATGTCTTGGTGTTTCACCGAATGCAGCGGGAGGGCTCTTTGCTGAGCAGGTAGAGTTCAGCTCTGGGATTGCAGATCAGGGCAAGCAGTGTCTAACGTGACACTTGGGAGTTCACCCGCAGAGCGCCTGTTTTCTGCCTGCTATGATGTTCTGAAGTATCCTGTTCCCTTGATGTAGGATGTTCACAAAAAGTGGTGTTCAACCCAAAAGTCCTAAGTACATTGACATGACTGCCACTAGCAAAGTCATTTGATTTTGAAGTTACTCAGGTTCAAGTCTTGGAGGAAGTGTGTTATACTATTCATTCCCTTAGTAAATTATTAGCCCAGTGACAAAGCAGTGTTGTGCTGTAAAGCAAGCTACACAGAATTACAGTGCTCTCAGGTGGGTGTTCTGTCCTTGCTCTGATAGCACACAACATGTTGCAGCAAAGTAACTAAAATGTAAAGCAATTAGCACACTGAATTTCAATATCTCTAGGAGAAAAAAAAGCTATTGGTTTGATCATCTTATCTCTGTGATCTTAGAGAGTAAAATCAGAAATATTTCCTGTCTTTGCATGGGGTGGTCACTGAGAGAGGATCCTGCTTGCACCAATGTCTGTAAGAGATTTCTGCAGTAAGAATGCTGCAAGGAAGGAGCATATACAGAAACTACCTGCAGAAAGCAGATTAGTATTACGTCCCATGTTGACTGTACACAAGATGGGAAGAACCAAGTCTCGTTCTGGTTCCTGTAGACATCTGCCACTGGGTCCTTACATCAGCCCGGCAGCCTCCCATGATCCCTGCTGTAAAGTGTGGGAGAAGCAAGGCTTCTCCAGAGTCCTTCTGTAGGGTAATTAACCACATAACATGCTTGATCCCCCATTTTTAACTGAAGGAGGCCATATCTAGAGTATATAGATGGTTATATAACTGTCCTACAAAGTCTGTTAAGGTTACATCTTCTGGTCAAATATGGCCTACACTGTTATATTTAGCATAATTTTAACATAGGGCACCATATCTAGCCTAGGATTTACATCAATCTCTGCAATCTGCAATTGCATTGGTCTTTTAAGTAGGCAGACACCAAAGAAACCACATTTGGTCCTGTGCGGACTCTGTGCTGCCTCCCCACTTAACTAGATCTGGTATGGACAGTAGAGAAAGGAAACAACTCTAATTAAGCATTATTCTGTGCATCTGGAAGCAACATCTCTTAAGTGCCAGTAGTGTGCTGAGCACCAGCACAGCCTGCAGGACTTGCCATCATAACTGAGCAACAGTCTTCAGTAAATCCAGAAAAGAGAGTTAGAGGAGGACCTGCCGCATTGCACTCGCTGGCGCATGTCCACTGTGTCAGTGAGAGCATTTGTAGGTCAGACCCAAGAATGATTCACACAATAGGTGCAGCTAGGCAGCTCTTCGGGGTTGTTGCAAGGAGTACGAGTTCGCTTTTGGGAAAGCAAGACTTTATTACTCCAGGGACCTCTCTGACAAAACACGGGTAGTACAGTTTACAGAAAGAAGTAGTGTGGCTGCTCATGGAGACGACACCGCAAAGAAGCCAACCACTTTCTTCCACTGACACAGACCCTTGTTAATGATGTTGTTAACACCAGGACTGCTGTTGTCAAAAGCCTTCTCTCCTGTTTATATCTACACACCAAAGCAGCCCAGGTGAACTAATTCTGGTCCATGCTGGTCCAAAGTCTTGCCAATGTGAGGGTTAAAAGCATAGTATATCTGCCCATTTAATTGAAAATGCATCTCCATAGCTATCACTTATCAATAATTCTCCCAAGTATAAAGTAGCCCCCTCCAGATCCACATGGTGCCAATGGCAGAGGTAGTGTATAGTACTTTAGGTAAATTATCAGGGGAAAGTAATGAAATAGTGTAATTTATCCTAAAGCAAAAGTACGTGTTTCTTTGTGCAGTAAATGTCATGATTAAATTCCCCCTAAAGGCTCTTGCTAATCTGATCTATCTTCCTGAAAAAAAAAATGTTTATAAGAGCTATTATAGTGCAATTGGCATATCATGTGTTCTTGGACTCTTTGGGTTTTTTTTTTCTCTATTTATTATATTTTATTTGGACTCCATGAGTTTTGCCATTCTGGTCTTGGTGCACTCACTGCTGTGAGTCATTGATTCCACAGTTACTGCCAGATCTCTGAGACCGATGTAATTATCGCATTAGGATCTGTTATTGTAGCCCTGGCTTCATAAATAGTCAGATTCATTATTAGAATCACGGACTGATCCATTCTGTGTTTTTGGACACTTACATAGGAGATGAGCAGAGAGCTGTGGCTATTAAGGGTTTTAAATTTCAATATTCCAGATATTAATTAGCATCATGTAGCCATTCTAGGTACACTAGCTATTAGAAGTAGTAAGCATTTCTGTAGCTGATAACCTGATGCTGATCAGCCAGAAACATGACCCAATTTCATCCCATAAACTGCAGAATAAGCCCTGGCCCTTTCCCTGTGGCCAGCTCATCGGGGCTGTAAAAGGGGCCTCACGGCACATGATTTGGGTCCCTTTCAGATGCAACTAAAAGTTCCCTCCAGGATTGCAGCATCACATGGTCATTCTGCCCTGGGACCCGACTCGACCTGGTCCGAAGCAGATCAAGCTCTGAAATGTGCCCGGGGGGATCCTCAGCACCATCTGCTCCACTCCACGTACAGCAGTTGGGCAGTAGCACATGCTGACGGTGCCTGATCAAACTGAAGCGACAGCTCCTTGGACAGGGTGCTGCTGTGAGTGGTTCTTCCTCAGCTGCCTCCACAGCTAGAAACTCTTCCTGGAAACTTGCAGCAAGCCAGGTCCCTGCAGGGTGGGCCAAGACGGGCAGCGTGAGGATGGATGCGCAAGGTAGATGCAGTTGTCCAAAGCATTTTGGTCTGAAGTAACTTCCACGCTAATCAGTGGGACCAATTTTAGCCCAGCAGCACCCCTAGAAGCAGATCTGCCACTGCAGAGCTGCCAACGTGGCAGTTTGGTTGAAGGAACCTACTGACTGCCTGGACATCGCTGCTTTCCTTCAAAAATGTATTCTAGACTTATCTGATCCAGAGAAAACCTTGAAAACACAGAGACTGTATAAAAAGCTGAGAAAATAGAAGACCAAAAAAACAAAAGTGTTCATAAAAATAAATATATAATTTTTTAAAAAATCTTGTTGTTCTGGGAGGAGATGGGAGAGAGACAAGCAAGGGATGCAAATTGCCTAGGTGACTCCAACCATTTATGATACCAACTACACATCCAGCGACACTCTGAACATACCCATACTTAACCCGTAAAGTCTATATGATCAGCATGGGTATTCTATATTTCTTCAAAGCCTACTTGGTTTAGACTTGTAGAGCCCATAGATTGACAGATATAGAACAACCTAGGGAATTTTCTGCCTGCACTCAACTATAAGTATTTGAAAATTAATATCTATTTAATTTTTGCTATTTTTTTATGTCCTTGAAAGGGGAAATATTAGTTAAAATGTTCTGACATCAGGTGTTGGAGTAGGTATTGTTCTCTAGAGTTCCCTGGATTGACCTTATGTTGCATGCTGACAGCTAAAATACATTCCTTTAAAATCCTTCACATACATAGGCTGATAACAGCAAGGATCTTGTCTTTGAGCTGTTCAAAATATTGCATTCTATTCTTGCCAACAACTTGTTCTAGTTTAGGAATTCTCTTCTAGAGAGACTTGAATACTGCAATGTGGTATTTTACCCCTAGAGATTGGTTACCCCGTTTTCATACGCTTAGCAGAGGCAAACGCTCAGTAAGTTCATGCCTTTTCAGAACTACTTGTGGACAAGTGTCACACAGCCCAAATGGTATGATTGAACATCGGCCTTGAACTCAGAGGTGCACTCACAAAATGCAGGATGGTCTAGGATGAAGATCACACTAGCAAAATGATTTCCAACACTAATTGAGAATTAAAGCACAGCCTGCCCTAGAGGCTATGCCAAATAACTGTTTTCTGTCCTTGAATGCAGCATTTCACTCTCTAAAATGGAGGTAATGATAGTTATCTTTATTTCTAAAGCATTTTCAAGCTTAGGGCCAAATATCTTATTTAAGAATTAATTATTTTTATCTCTGTCATCACAACCCCACTGGCACACAGGGGATACTGTGCCTTAATACCAGTGAGGGTGCCAGTGACTCTTTGTGCTTCGAGGTTGCTAAGTAATCTGTGTTTAGAGATGCATGTGAGGAATCCTCATCACACTTGTCATGTAGCAATCTCCTCAAGCATTCAAAGTATTTTCTCAACGTC